CATATATATATATATATATATATATATATATATATACTTAGACAATTCAATTAAGGGGCACCTCCAAATTTTATATTAATTTGTGATTTTGGTGTAAAAAATATTTAGTATTATTTCAAAATCTATTTTCATATCCAAATATAAAATTTTAAACTCCAAAAATGGCTAAAATCAAGTAAATCTATAAACATATGAAAATATCGAAAATGAACGGTCTAGATAATGTAATGCAAGATGCACTATTTTTGGGACTCAAAATCTTTTTTTCTTTCATATCATACAGCTCGATGTTGAGATGATCAATTAGAGGGTTATCAACATTAAAACCACCTTTGTCGATAGATTTTTGAAGCACATATGTAATTCTACATTTTAAAGTTGTAATCTTATATAAAAATAAAATACTACAAGACATTCGTGACCGTGTGATTGATTTCTTTTGCCATTCCTATAATAAGTGCTTACAATTCCTCCCTTAAAAAATGTATGTCCTTTTTTTTTTTGGTTTGAAACCTACTAAAATATTGAAGGTAATTCCTCCCTTAAAAAAAAATGTATGTCCTTTTTTTTTTTGGTTTGAAACCTCCTAAAATATTGAGGGCAAAGAAAGATATACCATAGTATCCACAATCTTTCCTTTCGAATGACACTTCCCTATACCCTCTCTAAGGAGAGGTCCCTGTTGATATTTGTTGACATGTATCTGCCAGTTAATTGCATTTTAATAATATAACATAGGAAATATAACTAATGTGTACACATCCTAAAAATGCGAGCTCATTGTTCAATAAGTGTTTAAAACTGTCGCAAGGTTTTATAGCCTTATACCAAAGGTTAGGTTGAATTCAACCATGTCAATGGTTTACTTCCCTTATTTTGGTTAGGTGGAGTTCAATCGACTAGGTTCCTACTTCATTTTCCGAAGGTTTCACTATGGATGTGAAAATAATACCCCTGATGAGGGTATGGTTGGACGCTAATCCCACATCTGTGTCAGTTGCATTTCTGAGCTCGAAACAACAATCGACACAAACATTTGCAACAACCAAGCAAGTGCACTGATTCTTCAAATCATATTGCACATTACTCTTTCATTTCAAGGATTATGTTGCACATTATTTTCTGAGTTGTTTAGCAGCAACATTCGAGCTTAGGACATGGTGTTGCAAGCATCAATACCTTGAAAACTCAGGCCCAAGCCTAAATCTTATGTTGCATATTACGCTTTTACTCGCATGTGTTTTTCTTTTGATCGAAAAAAATGGTTACTTTTTATTTTTCAAATATTTGGTTGTTTTTGTATTAAGAAAATGCATAAGTTCTTTGCCAGGGATGATCTCTGTCAAATTTATAGTTTAGTGAAGATAAATAGAACAAAATAAATTTACCTATTTTCAAAATTATCCATAATAGTAGGCTTATGAGTACATTCCATATAGTGATAAAATATGTGTATTGAATTTGAGGTAATTTGTGTTAATGACATGGTTGGGGATACATACACTTATATAATTGTTGGCTATGTGGCCTTTCAAGACCTTAAAGCCAAGAGTCTAAGAGCCTTACGCTTAGTGGGAGTTAAAGAGAGACTGAATCTAGGAGCTTGGGGCACTGGGGCCCCAGATTCATATACCCCGAATAATTGAAGCATTGAGAATATACGTTTTGAGAATGTGAACTCTCGGCAAGGTGTGATAGTCACCTCCCAGTCAGGACTATATTGATTAGAATACCTCAAAGTTGATATGATAAGCCAGGGCGTGGAGAATCCAATCGAGAATAATATAACCCGAGTATTTAAAAAAGTATTCACCCTGTATGGAATGGTCGGCTCATAAGACATGAGCCCGTATCCTGACACGAGACCATTTCATAGTATGTGCATTCACAGTCGCATGGGGAAGCCACTCTTATATAGTATCATTTAACTTAGAAGAGCTAGTGCACATGTGCTTTGAGAGGACTCCTGTATTTGAGTAGGAATATGCCTCACAGGGGTGAACCAGTAATTCATTGAACCCCTGGTTACGGGAAGCTCTGGCTCAATGACTTTGATTTAACCAATTATGTGTCCTTGCCATAGACTGTGGAGCATAGGTCCATTGGGTCGGCTTGAGACAATGGTGGAACGTCATTCGGGTTAGCCTAATGGAAAACTCCAACTAGTGTTATAAGTCTAGATCTTATTTACCTTTGGCCAAAATTAATCTAAAATTGATAAGAAAATAATTTATATTGATGATAAATTGTGCAATAATGTTGAAAAATCATTTAGAGAATTTTTGAGATTTTTGAAGAATTTTCTGATTATTTAAACAATAAAAAATGTGATTTTCAAATTTGTTCGATATAAATACCAAATAAAGACATCATATGGGGATGCCACATAGATCCTAAGTGGCCATGGGGATGCCACGTGACACTCCTACCTCCCTACTCGTGGATGATATCATGCTGACGTCATATCCATGTGGGGACCTATTTGTCATCAATTATTTTGTTGGTATTATGTTATAACATGTTATCTTGTTATTTAAAGTGTTATATATTGTTATGACGTAAGTTTGATTTAAGTCACATGTTTTGTTTTTTGTTCATTTGTACTTTTTTTTGCATGTGTGAAGTCATGGAATTTTGAGAATTAATTTAATTTATAATATTATCCACATATGATTTTGTAGCATGTGTGTATATCTTATGTGGCACCACCTTATAGGCTGGACCCATGTGAAACTTTAATGTTGTTAAAATCCTATTGATGGTATCATAAGATATTTTATTCACATTTGTGGATGTCCAATATTACCTTTATGTTCATATCTTTGAATTTTATTGACTCTTACAAATTATTCAAAAACCATAGGCATAAGTGTAAACATGAATTTGGACTTAATAAGAAATAAAATATAGAGCTAAGGACTTCAAAGTAAAATGAGTATAACCTAGGTTTTGAGGAGTGAAAGGTGTCAAAAGCTCATCCATTAATCTTGGTGATAAGATATGGATGAGTGGTTTGGATAAAAGCCTCTCATGTGCCATTGATCTAAGGCATCAATGATCAAGATCAAATCCATCTTTATGATCTAAGTATAACAGTAACTTATGAGATCAATTATAACCATAACTTGAGTATTCATTTCAAAGAGAGAGAGAGAGAGAGAGCCATTGATAAAAATGTGGTCACCCATGAGACTATCTTCTTCCTTGAGCTTTCATTTGAAACCCTTTCAAAGAGTATTCCCTTATTTATGTGATCAAGCTCATACTATTGCTTTATTAAGGTATTGACTTTTCTTCTCATATTTTTAATTCTTATCTCATTTCTATTATCAAAGCTTGATGTAATTCTTAATTTACAGTAGCTTTCATCATTTTTTGTAATGAAAACTTGATATTTGAAGAATACTAAAGCAATAATGTAGTCCATACACATGGTATGTGCAGACTAGCTTGTTTATTCCATGATCTTTAGTAGTGTCAACTTGATTTTCTTGAATTTTTATTGAGAATATACAACTGATGAGATGTTTATTTCATCATATTTGAGCATATGAAATGATCCACTGAGTTCCTTTTTGAATGTTGAGAAGTTCATGTGGTCCCTTATAGACCACATGGTGTAGTTTCACCATAATTCCTTATTTTGTGTAGTATCTCTCTCAAACTTTGAAGGGGTTTTTTAATACATGTCTCTCTCATGATTTGATCCCCATTAAGTGAAATAAAACTGATCATTTGCTTCCTATTAGATTGATCTTTTTAAGTTATTATGATTACCCGTGCCTTAGACAATAAGACAAAATTAAATCTTCAAAAGACCCTTTCGTGGCCCAGGCACAAGGGGTTCG